AAGATGATTGAGTCACAAAGAGAGGAATATGAGGTCTAACCTGAAAAAATAAGTGAACGACGAGGATAGATAACTGAAAACTCCAGCTGGAACGAACTTAGAAGCTATGTGCTTGCTGGAAAGCTCTGAAAGTTTGAAAGCAAGAAAGCGCAAAGGAAAGTGACGAAGGTTCCGCCTTTTATATCTCTCTCAAAAAACAAAGCGGGAGAACGACACGTGTCTGGCTCGAAAGCAACCGCCCAAGAAACTGAAAAGTTTCTCCAAGCATAAATGCAATGATGGCGCCGAAAAGTCCTTTCCGTCTTGCCTTAATGACAAAACGGTTGATAAATTCAAACGTTACAAAAGGAATATTTATAAATTCCAGATGTACACGTCTTTGTTGCCCGATGCCACAACATTTCAAAAATGCAAAAATTCCCCAAGTCCACTCAGCTTTGTAAGTGCTACTTTGTCCCTCTTAAGATCATACTCTTATTTACTTATAATTTCTCTCTAAGTGCACAAGAGTAGAGGAATGGTAAGTGGGAAACTCGGGAAAAGAAATAAAAAATCAGAGACCATCGAAATTACAACTCAGAATACAATAGCGACCTCGGTGGCATCAACAAACAGGTATGACTAAATACTAAGCTCATTAAAGTTCATTTAAAATTTAAATTTTAAATATTTTATCAGCCCTCGGTGAAATTCGTGGATGTAGCAACTAACTTGCAAAACAGGAACTTAGGGCAATAAATCACGGATGCCCAAGCCCGACCCCACCTCTTTTACATCAGGGCATCGCCTTCTTCTCCAGAAGTCACCTCAAAGCGGAGTGTACTCTTTTTCCTCTGTTAAGATTTTTAATGAGTCACCAGGGAGGGAAGTGCCCCCGCCGAGCACGCAAGCCCTGAAAAGATTGAAGAAGTATTCTCTCTCACCCCAAGTATTACTTCCGCTTCAGAGAGTGTGGGACTCATGATGGAGTATATTCTCATACACTTCAGGGGTATCATAATCAACGGACAAAGACTTTAAAGTTATATCAACGCTCAATCTGAAGTTCCAACCGAGACTGACCTCAACACACGAGGTCTGGTCTCAAGTCAAGGCCATGAATCGATAAAGTATAACACTCCAGCTGAGGCTGACCTCGACCCACCGAGGTCAGTGCAACAATGAGCTCGCGGATCGTCCAGATAAGGCTAAATATGAGGCCGACCTCGAGCACACCGAGGTCGGTACCAGATCCAACCTCAAATACAAACACAAGGTCAATGGAAGTCAATATGAATGAGGAAGAAACCGATACTAGGCAAACTGAAGGCTCGAGATGAATTCCCCTGTTTGAGATCACTATACCCGAGCTCTGACCTCACAAAGCTCGGGGTCTCACTGGACAAATATGGACTTAGACATTTCAACAATCAAGTATCGCGCAAGCTGCAGCCACGTCACCAACACAACACGGAAGCCACGCCACCCGAACGATTGGAACAAGAATATTCTGGCACAACACTTATTGTGTGAAATCGTCCATTAAACACACTTATTATGTTGTAATGGTCTTGAACATTTGAGACCACTAACCATGTAATTAAACCATGATTTAATCACATTTTACAGTTTCTAAACAATAGACAATGTTTGAAACTCTATCAATTCGAAGGACAGATTAGAACGACCATTAACCGATGGTAGTTCTACATTTAGTTCAACCTTCAGAAGTTTCCAATTTTCACTCTCAACAAGTGAACTTCAAGAATCAATTTTTCATTCACACATTATCCATTTTGAGTGTACCACATATCAAATTGAACCCCTTAAAAAGGAGAATCTGAAGTCACTTTGACCCAATCCAAATTGGAAGTGGGCCCCACTCAAAATAATGCCCGAAAATAGCCATTTAACGCAATTTTTAGTACAATTTTTCCAATATTATCTTCCCATCCCTTCTTCAACGCCATTTCTTCCTCTCTTTTGTGTATCTTGTTATGTTAAAAGCAAAGATTTTAGTGTGATGCTGAATGTATGATTATTTTGTTTCATTAGTATGATTTGGTGATGTTAATCCTTGAAATTTCAGTCAAACTATTTATTTCTTTTTTATGCACATGACATGTTTGTTTAAATGCTTCACTAAAATTTCAATGAATGTTTCTTGTAGTTGCAATTATAGTAGTAGTTGTTTTATATATGTTTGTCATCATCAAGTTGCATACTCTATTAATGTGAATAAAGCATTAGGCTACTTACACTCAGATTAATAGCATAATTTCAATTCATTTGGTAGCATTTGAAGTGATTTTCATTAAAAAAATCTTAATCTAAATACTTATACTCAAATCAATTGAATATTGATTAAAAGAGAAGAAAACTAAAGAGTAAAAAGACCAACGAAAAAAATGATGGATCTATATATTTCTTCCTTAGTAAGAATATTTTACTGATTAGTATTAATTTAATATACTTCATCCGTTCCATAAAAGTTGCAACATTGGAATTTTTGCACTATTCACACACCTTACTTTGACTACGATTTTCTAATAATATATATAATAAAAATATTATGTATAAAATATTAATAAATTTGTATTAATGTAAATTTCCAATATATTAACTTTTTTTAATGTTTAGTGATACGTAAATAAATATAATTACAGTCAAAGTTGCGCGTTGGCAAACGTGAAAGTCAAAATGTTGTAACTTTTATGGAACGGCGGATAGTATAATATTACTACATAATATTAATAAATTTTTAAAATTTTGGGGCCCCATAAATTCGGGTGCCCTATTCTGGATAACCTATTGAACCCCTAAAAAACGACCCTGCTCTTCTCTATCTCTCTTTCTCCCTCTTTTGTTTCATTGAGATTCTGGAAATTCGAGATCCGTCAGCCCATATGCATTCAACGATGGCAACTTCTTCATCTTCTTTGAATTTTAAAAAATGCCAAATTTTGTTTTAAAAATGCCATGAAGATGACATTTTACTCTTCAAAAATGCCTATTTTTCTATGAAAATGTCATTAAGATGACATTCTTGACTCATGTCGGCATTCTGATATAAATGTTGATATGAGTGACAGTGGCTTTCAGATCTGCGGTGGCGGAGTCCGAACGTGCAACAGTGGAGGCCGGATTTGTAGCGGCCGCGATTGACGGTGGTCGGATACCAGATCTCCGGTGGTGGCAACCAAATCTGCGCGGCGGTGGCCAGATCTGTGACGGCGGTGGCCAGATCTTCAGCGGCTAGTTCTGAGGTAGCGGCGACCGGCAGCGGTGACCGGAGACCGGCAGCGACCCGACTTCAGGGATGTTTTTATCCAACTACAAACAATAACTCCTATTTAAGGAATTTTTAAACATCAATCTTATTTTGGCAATTAAAGAGTTATTTTACTTCTGTTTAGGTAAATCTCCCATGTTTGTTTTATGCACCCTTCAAAATTTTCTTTTATACTATGGTTTGGGTTAAGAAATAGGCTCTTAACATGTGATAATGTGGTGTATATTGAAATGGATAGAGTGTGTTGCTTTTGCAAAGCTCATGTGGAATCCACTCATCAGTTTGAAAGTGTGCATTCTCAGGGTAATATGGGAAGGTGCTAGACATTGGCTGCAAATAAAAAAGATTGCTACAACACTACTGAGCATGGTCAAATTGTATATGAAGCAAAGTTGGTTGGCTATATGTTGTAATGTATACTCAATATGTAAAGCTAGAAATGAGCTCATTTTTGCGCAAAAAGATACTACTGTCCAAAGAGTAATCTTTCAAATTAGACTGCTTGTTTATCGGGTGCTTTTCAAATTTTTTTCATTAGTATAACTCTTAACTTGTTTAGATTTGCTTAAGAAGGTGATATGGTAAAGTGTAGTTGTTCTTAAGCAAAAGTTTGTTTTTGATTGAGTTTGAGTGGGGAATGCCCCTCTAAAGATGTAAAGATCAATTTTGCAATGTATATATATATATATATATATATATATATATATATATATATATATATATATATATATATATCTGTGTGTGTGTGTGTTTACCTTCTACCAAAAAAAATAGTTCTGGTTCAACCAATCATACAGTTCTTGTCATGTAAAGCTACGTCAAACCACAACCAACCGCAATCATTTAGGAAAATCATAACCGGGGGCATATCTCATCCTGTTGGAAGGGAGTGTATAGGTCTCAGATTCAACTTCAAGAAACGTCTTAGAATGAAACTTTATTTTATTGGGAAAAATAATTAAAATACCTCAAACTTTAAAGGGTTGTGAGATGAACACCCCAAACTTTCATATGTAATTTAAATACCCCAAATTTTATATAAAAAGTTATTTTAGCACCATATGCAGGTATTATTTCATTCAAAAATGTAAATTTATGATGTTTATTGCATAATTTAAAATATTTTAGAATTCATGAAGACACGGTTAACATTCTAAACTTCCATTGCGAAATAAACAATGTTACCCTCAATCTATATAATTGCAACATTTTTAATTTGCTATTTTAAATTATGCAATTAACCCGATAAATTTATATTTTTGAAAGAAATAATACATGACAATGGTGCGAAAATAACTTTTTATACGGAGTATATAACTTGGGGTATTTAAATTACATATACAAGTTTAGAGTGTTTACCTCACACCCTTTCAAAGTTTGAGGTATTTTTATTATTTTTCAATATTTGATTTCCATCAGATTGAGATTAAAATGCAAGTAATTGAATCCTTTTTAGGAAAATATCTCTCTCCGACTTGAGTGAACCACACCACCCATCCCAGGTGCTGTTACATACACTTACAATCTATTTAGATCAAGTGTTGGAAATTGTTAGTAATGGAAGTGTTAAAGTATGTTGACTTGAACACTTGTTTGGGAGAAATTTAAAAACAAAATTGGAGTGTTAGTAAGTGTTTAAAAGTGTTAGGAGAAACCTCCCTAACACCTCAACAAGTGACTTTTTTAACACCCCAAATTGGAGTGTTTTGAAGTGTTAGACAAATCTTGCCCTTCATACTTCCGTTCTACCTCCATCCCCTCCCTGAAAAATGGTCCTTCCACCAAATCCTAGCTATCAAATTGCCGTGACTGTTCTTCCTCCATCCCTATCAAATCAACCCATATTGTTGAAAGTACAATTAACTGCCCCGGGCCATAATTAATTAAACGCAAAACTCCTGGGCAGCTTGATTAATAGGCATAAATCCATTAGGTGTTATTAGGGCGTCTACACGAACATCATCTAGGCATTAATCAGCTTGATTAATGTAAGATTATGTTTAACACTTATACTTATACTTACCTTCCTTTTCGGGTCATTACTAACACTCACTACACTTCCATTACTAACCCCGCAAACGTCCCGTCCAAACAGGCCCTTAGATTCATGTTACCCAGTGTAAATCCTTCGAAAGAAAAAAGGAAAATTTTCCAACATTCGATTCGCTGGACCGTTGTTCGATTTGCATAATCACAATCAAATAACAGCATAGATGAGTTTAATGGCTCTGAATGGTTTGGGTTGCAGACATGGCGTGGGTTGGATCCCAATATCCAGCTGCAATTACCTGCACCGAAGCAGAACTGCTCCTCTCGGTAAGTTAACATTTCGGCAGTTTAGCTACTAAATTCTCAATCCGGCTTTGCGCTCATAGTTTCACTTGTAATGGTAGGCTGATGGCATTGACGAAATTAATTTTTAATTTTGAAAGCTTGCTACTGTGAGAAGCAAAGGAAACTGGTTGAGCGGAAATTTTCATGCGAGGCTCTTCAGGAAGAGCCCGGGTTATTTGTGAAGACGGGCCGTCTTGCAGGGTTTACAGGTGCTTTTGTTGGTATGGTTCTTACTTCTTATTTTTCATGATTCGACTAGCTTTGGAGTTTAGCACTGTTCCATATTAAGGTTTCTTATTTGTTTTGTTTTGTTTTCTATTTATGTTACATTTTATTAAGAATAGAAGACTAAGAATAGAGAACACCAAACAACAAATTAGAAGAAACAAGATCGTGAAATAAGAAGCCTAAGGCAGAGGAGGAAACTATGGAAAGAGGATAGAGAAAGGACGAAGAAATATGCCGGCTTACTGGCGATGCTGGGAGAGGTTTAAGCACTCGACGGATGGATGATGGAGGTGCATTTAAAGGATCTCTGCCAGACTGCTTCTGCAATAATAAGTTCTACCAAGAAAAGTCACATTCTTTCAACCCTGATCAATTATCGTTAACCTTACACTGATACTTTGAGTTTAAGGAAATTAGATGGGTGCGCGCAAGGCATGCCTCATCCACGCCCGCAATTTGCGCTTAAGAGACGTGCCTATGTAACTTCACCTGCCAGCTGCCACATTATGAGCTGAGTGCTATACCATTTGCATCATGCCTAGGGCATCCCTTTCACCGCAAGGGTAATTAGTTAAGACTCCCTTCATTAACTTTTCCACAGAATTAAGTGTAAAGTTGTAAGAGTTCAGAGTAGTGTAGAAAAACTGAAAAGCAATTGGGAAGTATGAAAATGAAGACAGAAACTAAATCCAAAAATGAAAAGTGAAATATTTGGTAATAACATATAAGGAATTACTAGTTTATTATACTCCGTATGTAATTTAGTCTATAATAGCATTTTGTTTTTTTATAAATAGGGTCTCAAACTCTGAATCCCTCAATTCAACACACACACAGAAATTATTACGCAGTACTATGCTTTATTCCTTCTGTTTCTACCAAAACAAAATCCTGGGTAGACCTGCTGGAGACTGAAATGAACTTGTCGGAAAATATGATAGATGTGAACATCCTAATAATAAACAGATTTTAGTGGCTGTACCTGAAACTGAAGCCTTCCAAATACAACACGTCTTCTCATTTTACAGCATCTATTCATATGCATTCCCATAAATCTGAAGGATCCTCCTCCAAACTAAAGATAGAGAAGCTGTGGCAGGGCACACAAGCTGATATAGACCTCAATAGTCTATTCTACAACTCCACGTCATGAAACTGGAGCGTGCACATTTTCACTTTAGGTTGTGCGGTTCAATATTGGCCACATATAATCCCTTGATTATTTCAAAGGTGCGAGTCTTAGCTATGATGGACTTTAGTTGGTACAAAATGCATTTTTAATTTCAGTGGCACTTTTTCAATCGTTGGGGACTACACCTAGTTAGTCTTTGTTAGGAACCCTAGCAATTACAGAAGTTCACTAACAAACAGAAGAATGGTAACTAAGAAAACGGAAAGCTTCATTAATGGAGAATCCGAGTACACAGTCCCAAAGAAGGAGATAAACTCCAACCTCCCAGTCCCAGACCAAATGAGTCTAAACAGCCTGCCTCACTACTCCCCCTTCCCATCTATTTATACTACAATACATCAAGTGCCCTTATTACTAATATTCTTATTAGTACTTCTATTATTAGTCTTATATAAGTGGGTTCCTAACAATACTCCCTCCCTAAACATCCACCTTGTCCTCAAGGTGGGTAATAGGAGAAAGCCAAAATCTTTTGCTTCCTCTTCCTCTTCCTTGTTCCTCTCCCTTCCCAATATCGAACTGATTGTGGGACCATGAACCTTTCCAAAGATGTCTGGCAGCTTACAAACCCACCACCACTCTGGATCCTGATGCCATGTACTGCCGGATGTATACTGGTGTATTGACAAGCAAGGAAGGAACTGCACATTGATAACCAGTACATTGATACTGAGGTATAGCTATAACTATTTTTCCCATCAAGTAGGGTTCCACTTCTATATTTCCAGCATCTACATTTAGCTTGGTTTCCCTTACAAGAGCACAAGTGGAACAGTTCAGTTCTGGTTCTTTGGAGCCTAAGATCATATTGTAAGGTTGAAAATTTGCTTCAGCTTCCAATCCCATGACCATACTCTGAGTATTAAGATCCAGGACCACACTGATTTTATCCAACTGATATTCAAAAGTAATTTCATCAGCCCCTTTCAATCTATAATTACAGGAGTCCCAATTTGCATAAAGTGTCAAACTGCAGTCCTTAACTCCCATCCCAAATTTGACATTGGAGTGATTGAAGACTGATCCTTCAAATGCACAAATCTGTAGATCATTCTTTCCCAACTGCCCTGCTAAGATACTCTGGACTTTTACCCCCTTTTTATCCCCAATAACCTGATCCTGGCTGTCAGAATCAGCAACATACTTCTCCATCCATCTCCTAAAAACAATAATGCTCAACACATTGTCCTCTTCTAACCCCTTTTTATTACCCATCATAGAAGCAATATCCTCACATCTGAAACTATCAAACTTGTTCAATGATTTCAGCCCTTCCAAGGAAATGTTTAATAAATGACAGTATATCATTTCAGATTTTAAAACATTCAGCCAGTTCATCTCCTTAACGCAACTAGACTTGTCAGCATCATGAATCGGTTTGCGGTTTCCAAAAATGTTGGAAGATTCTCCCGAAACAAGCCCAAACTCCTCCTCCTGAGCCTCTGTACCAGATCTATTTTTACCAATGCATAATTTTTCTGAAAATCTTTCCTTTACTTGTAAGGAAAGTTGACTTTTGACAAGAACAGTTTCAGAAGCAATTAGAGCTCTATTTCCAAAAGAACATGGTTGAATAAGCTTGTCAGCAATAGAAACTTGGTTGGAAATTAAATCCACATCCTCTTCAAGTTGAGAATAAACATAATCTAGCCCTTGAATAAACTATCGTTTCTCCTTGATTTCGTTTTTCTTATTCACTTGCTTGATTACAGGTTCAGTCGGTTGCATCTGAACCTTCTTTGTTGACTGGAAAATTTCTAGCCCTGATTGAGAAGCTTGTGAACGAGAAGTTCTTGGCGACCTCAATGACTCCTGTTTTGATGATTCCTGCGAACTGAATGAAAAAGTTCTCGATTGCAAACTGGAAGTTCTTCGTGACTTGGATGACTCCTGTTTTGCCGTCTTCCCTGTCTTCTGCCGGTGTCTAGGTGGAAAATCCCTAATCAAATCTTCTTTTAGTGCCTCCCAACTGTCTTCTCTCTTTTGAAAATCCCACCATTGAAACCAGCCATCTGCTTCTTCCCCCATAGCCTTTGCTGCTAAGTCAACCTTAATTTTTTCTGCAATAGCTTGGACTCGGAAATATCTTTCCATCTTCTCTATCCATTCGTACGCTTCATCCTCGTAGAATAGAGGTAATTTCTCCGTCTTTGATTTAGTTGAATTCCGAGAAGCGACTTTAGACGAAGAAAGCGAACAGTGAAAATCCTCAGGCGAAGAAGAAGATTCTCCTCTCAATAGCGTCTTTCTTGGACGCGAATAAATGGCCGGTGAGAAAGTCTGCGAATTCTGAGAAGGAGTTCGCGATTGCGAACTTAAAGAAGAGGTTCGCAATTTTGTCTGCGACTCCGTCTGCGGTAGCGGATGAAGCCAACTACTCCTCGATCGCTCTCCCTGTCCCTTGCGAAGCCTTTGCCCTTGCTGCGAATCAAAATACTTGGAACTATCTTCTGATCCATCTGCTCTAACGGAACTTCTCACGTGTCCATGATGCGAAGAACGATGCGACGCATGTGAAGGTTGCGAACTATTTCACGAACAACTTTGGCCTTGCTCTGCCAGTTTCACGATCGTAGCCTGCATCGTCTGATGCATCGCCGTCATCTCTTGTTGATTTCTCTCCATTGTTTCCGTAAATCTGCTTTGGTTTTCCTCCAGCTCGTTCATCCATAAATCCATCTTCGTACGCGTCAAGACCATCCACCGTGATCGACGTGCTCTGATACCAATGTTAGGAACCCTAGCAATTACAGAAGTTCACTAACAAACAGAAGAATGGTAACTAAGAAAACTGAAAGCTTCATTAATGGAGAATCCGAGTACACAGTCCCAAAGAAGGAGATAAACTCCAACTTCCCAGTCCGAGACCAAATGAGTCTAAACAGCCTGCCTCACTACTCCCCCTTCCCATCTATTTATACTACAATACATCAAGTGCCCTTATTACTAATATTCTTATTAGTACTTCTATTATTAGTCTTATATAAGTGGGTTCCTAACAGTCTTAATCAATCACTAAAGCTGTAAGAATGTGATGGTAAAGGGATATAAAATGGAATGAACTCTATTCCTTTTGATTCAAGTCACAAGTATTCATTCATGAACTTTGTAGTATAGCTCGAACTTTCACAACATGATATGAATCAGATCTTTTTTAGTATTGTCTTTGAGATTTGGTCTGGGTCTAGACGTCTATTATCATTGAACTATCTCAACTAGCTCTTTGCAGTTTTCATCTCATGTTTGATGAGTTGTTTAGTTAAGTTCTTTTTATTTATCTATATAATGATTTACAATTTTACATAGGGAAATTACCCTAAATAGGATTAAAAACGTTTGTATAATCCAAAATAGAACTTCCATGTTTTTATTCCCAAAATAGGATTAATTACTGTCATGTTTTGGCAGTACCAGACTTTAAACATGACAGTATTTTCCAAACTTGGCGGTAATTACTCCTATTTTGGGAATAAAAACATGGCAGTCATATTTTGGAATTTCCGAACTTATTTACTCCTATTTCGGGAATTTCCCCTTTTACATATGGATAGGTCTGACAATGGCTAAATTCCCTGTTTAACGTTTCAGCATCAAATATGCTTATGACTAGTACTGCAAATGCTTTGACCATGCAAGGCAACGTGGTGAGTATTTCTGTTTGCAGTTTTATTCTTAGCTTTCTGTGTTAAGGATGTATGTGACCTATGATCATGGATAGAGGTATATTCATATTTTTTGCATACTTCCAGAATGGACTATCATTTTCTGCTATATTTTAGATTTGGTGATACTGATAACATCTTATTTTATTTGTATCTGGAGCTTCCTTCTTCTCTTTACGCATTGGCTGATGGAGGCATTACAGATTGGTTTGGAGGCTTTGTATACTCTGCTGGTCAACAGGCTAATGAGGCTGTTCAAGGCCAGTTGTCAGCTCTTAGTTTTTCTAGGTCATGTTTCTAATGTTAATATCTGCTTTTGGTACTGCTAAACTAAACTCAACAGGATTTACTTACTGAAGGGTCACATGTTCTGTTTTGCAGTTTAGCTGTGATATTTGGAGCAGGGCTTGTAACCAGCCTTTCACCTTGTACGTTGAGTGTTTTGCCACTTACCCTCGGTTACATTGGTAGAATCTCTGATCTTTAACTTCAATCTAAATGATATACTATTTCATCTCCTTTCTTGTCTGACTACTCTCCATTCTATCATGGAAATCCCCTAGGGGCATTTGGCTCCGGGAAGAGTCGTGCAGCGGTGAGCACATCAGTCCTTCCTTAAAACCTTTCTTTCCTGATTGAAACTCTTAAGGACATCCGACCCCCCCTTACCCCACCGTAGGTGGGAGCCTTTGCGGCACTGGGGTAAATGAAAATGAAATGAAAATGTATTGAAACTCTTAAGGGCACACGTACAAAGTAGCGGACGACTGACTGGCATTTCAAGCAGAGGGAAGCAGGAAGCTTCAGATCTGTCTTGCATTTATTAATTGAAAAAGATGAACGGAAATTAAAGAAAATGCTTAGTGGAATTACTCTGATATCTGATCTCTGACCTCTGATCTCATCAAGTGATCCCAGAATTAACTCTGCATAGTTGTTTATTAATTTAACTGAGAATCCATGATATAGTTATTTAGGATTCCTAAACTCAGATAGAATCCAGTATGAATATAACTCTATTTGTATAAGGTAAATTAAGCTAGGAATAAATTATACTCCCTCCGTCGCATTTTGTAAGATACACTTTCCTTTTTAGGTTGTTCAAAAAATATGAACACTTTCTTAAATTGGACCCCACTTAATTTCTTATCTATCATTTCACCCTTCACTTTTTGTGATCCATTTTTGTCTTTCTTACTCTTTGGAGGATGGAATTGTAAAATATCCACTTTATCCTTTATTTTCTTAAAACTCGCACTAAACCCACATGCATCTTATATTATGGGAGGCAGTACTAATAATAGTAGGAATACTCTCTGCTTGCTTGACCTGCAAGTCATTCCAGAGGGCCTTGCTTTCTCCTCAGCCACTTTGGGAACCTGATCCATCTCTACTTGCATCCGAGTTTCTGATCCGGCCTCTTCGTTTATGCGTGAAGCCTTAGAATCAATCAGTAACAGAAACTTACCATTTGCAATGTGCTTAGACATGTTGGCTGTTGTCATAATTAGTCAACATTGCATTACAACTATGGTGTCGTCATAAATAAATTTACAATAAGTAGGGATCTGAGTGGGGATTCTCAAGTATAGGTAATTTAGGGGACTCTACAATATCTTATGATCCTGCTTTAGTCTATTCTCATTAGTTTTCTCCAAATTGTCATTGGCATACACACTTGTTATTTTTACCTTGTTTTCATGAAAGGTATATACTCCAAGTAATATTTTTTGACAGGTTGTTGCAGATTCTGTTGCTTTTGCATTAGGATTGGCCACAACACTTGCATTACTCGGCATTGCCGCTGCATTTGCTGGAAGGGCATATGGTCAGATCGGCCGTGGGCTACCTGTGGCTGCCTCTAGTCTTGCTATTCTTATGGGCCTTAATTTGTTAGAGGTAGCAGACTGTGAGAATGCTATTATTTTGTCCTTATAGTTTATCTTTTGCAATTGACGTGGCATATGGTCACTTCTATACACAGAGTATTGTTTGTAAGGGAAATACGTAAACTGTCTTTACCCGTGAGTTTACCAAAGTAACATAGGATCTTCTAAAAGCAATCTTGTCACTCCAAAAAACGTCATTTCCATGTGATAGGATGCAGGATTAGATTGAGTCACTTTAACTTGGCCATAGGTCACTTGGGCCAAACCACATTAGATGGAAAATGATTTAAAGGGGTAGCTCAAGTTTATATAGAGCTCTCTAAACTCTATTGAGTTTGAACCACACTGAAGTCAAAAGTACTTGAGCAACTAGGGGTAGCTCAAGTTTCAAATGTTAACAGTTATCACACCGTTTTTTGTTGTTCTACTGTCTTCAGTTCTGTTTATTTACATTTACCTTAAAGGATATTCCTGGGCGTGCTGCAGGTAGTAGAGTTGCAGCTTCCCTCATTTTTCAATAATTTTGATCCGATTGCAGCTGCTGCCAATTTTCCTTCAAGTACATAACCCTCAAGTTAAATTTACACCGCTAGATCTTGATGTGTTCATAACTTCGTTGGACATTTCTTGGCAGTTGGCACTAATAAAGTTGATACCTTTAAAAAACCTTTCAGGTGTGCAAGCATATTTGGCAGGTCTTACGTTTGCCTTAGCTGCATCACCTTGCAGCACGCCTGTACTGGCCACCTTACTTGGATATGTTGCTGCATCTAAGGTTCAAATTTTAGCTTATTTTTTTAACATTTATGTGTGTTTAGTTTTATTGGCCTTTTCCACTACTTTCTTCAGCACCAATGCCACACTCTCCAAATATAAAAAAAATCGAGATGACTTGAGAAAAGAAAAGAGGTACATACAGTTCTATTAGGAGATTTAGGGCAAGTGATGAATATGGAATGTACAAGAACTTACATGAATGGAATCAGATTGCAATGGTGCGTGTGTTTTATTGTGGAAATGTTGTGGAAAAAGTGTTTTTACTAAGTTATAAGGTTCAGAAAAATTTTAACACCAGAATGTATAATAGGATCCAGTTGTAGGAGGCAGCTTACTACTGACATATACAACCGGATATGTTGCTCCATTACTTCTTGCAGCTTCCTTTGCTGGAGCATTACAGGTACTATCTACACTATATGATATAATTTTATATGCATGTTTGATGATTTACAGGAAACATGTCTCCACAAGATACAGACCTTCCATTTCAATGGTCTGTAATATTATTTCAAGAAACTTTTTCATTCAGTAAAACATAGGAGAACAGTTGAGTTTTATTCAGGCAGAAAAAGCAATTTTGGTCCTTTAAATAATATACGGAGTACTACGTAGCATTTTGTAACATTACTCCACAACATACTAGGTGTCACAATTTTAGTCACAAATTTATTGAGGTGTATTGGTCCTTCATGTTGTTATTTAAAGGACCGAACCACCCGCCAAGGATAATAAAGAATGACTGGATTATTTATAATGTGTGCTGTGGTAAGGAGTAAAATTATAATATGCTGATTAGGGACTCTTCAAGTACTATTTAACATGCCCCATCCGTCCCGCTATGATTGTCTTATTTTTCTTTTTTCATCCGTCCTACTAAATTTGTACCATATCATATTTGGTAATATGTATGTAGTTCTAATTTGATCTTACTTGATTCACGGTTTACCAATTCAATACCAACAACACATTTCTACTTTTCTTTAAAATCACGCAACCCTCTTTAGTAGTCTTGTCCCAATTTTAGAGGGACAAAGGTAGTATAAATTATCTAGCAGTATCATCACTTGTCCCAATTCATTATTTTATCATTGAGTTGTAATAATGCCTAAATTTACAGAGCCTACTTTCAGTGCGCAAGTTCTCAGCATGGATAAACCCAGTCAGGTAAATTGCACAAAAGAATGCTGTTATGAGTTATCTTTTCCTATATTATTCTCAATAATACTCATCAAAGTGACAGTCTAAAACACTCACTCTGTGGAGAAATTGTAACCCGGTCTTTTTTTTTGTATAAATATGGCAGTGGTGCACTCCTATTAGGTGGCGGTGTATATACCATCTTGGATAAGCTTTTTCCTGTAACAATGACAATGTAGAGATTCAGGTTGATCAGGATAGATCTCGTCAAATTGCACCATTTGAATTTTTAATATGCAAGACCGGTGAAGATGTTCGAGAAAAATGAATTTGATGCGGGTGGTATTTAACCCTGTTAGGCATTTGATGATGTAATGTATTTGGAAATCCTCGCTATTTTATCCTTTGCATAGCTACAAAATGTAAGGTAACAAGAATTAGAAATAATGTATCTTTTACTGTTGTTTTCTTTAGTAAAAATGTTTTGAAATATCTTTTTAGTGAATCAAGTCCATAACCAAGTTCAGTGATTTCAATCATAGTTGTTCCAGCCAAAATTTCAATCAACCGAATGGGGAATGTAGGTGGTCCCTGGTCTGTTATAGAAATGAACGTTAAACGTGATCATTGAGAAACAAGCCTAAATAGATTATTTATTAACGAAGAAATATAGTCACAAGTTGTCAAATAACTTAATAACCGCATGGTCAATTAGTCAAACACCGGGTTTTCTCTAACAAGATGTGGTCATTGAAAACTTGAAATGCCATTAAGTATTTGAAAATATTAAGGACCTTAATAACTCTTGTTTTCAATTTATCAATCTTATAAATTAATATTTTTTTGACCACATCTTATAAATTAATTTTTACATTCTAACTTTGAGTATGAATCAAAATATGCATTAATTAATTTTTTTACTGAACTTGCCCACATTATTGAAGAGACACATTTTTGGTAATTTATCATTTTATGATGTATTTCAAATATAATATGTAGTATCATTTTTTCATAATCCAGTTGATTTAATCGATTTTGATGTTATCAAATGAACTCAAAAAATTGGGTAAACACACTTAAGACCAAATGTGAGGCTCTGCAAAGTCGTCGCACCAATGTGACAAAAAAATGTTCGAAAAAATACAAATGCGTTTATCATTGAAACACATGCACCAGAATAAAAACATAGAAATACTCTGTAATACAGTGACTTATAGTTTGTTTTGTTTTGTTGCAGTGACTTATAAAGAGCATATAAAAGGAGGGCTATGCATTCTGCCGCTCTGTATTGCATTCAATTGGCTGATATCCCTTCAAGCAACGGCTAGTGTTCATGATTTAAAATTTAAATAGGGCGTTCTCCATAAAGAAGTGACCTGATCCGGAATTCTAATGTCCTCTTCCCTTTACCATCTCCTTGTATTGGTTCAGCGATTCCTGCCTCTGCAACCTCATATCTTCGTTGAACTTCTTTATGAATGCCTCCACTCGCCGGGTCAGCTCATCCTGACCCAGTGAGGGCTCCCTTTTCAATTTCCCCGACTTGGACCGGGGACTCGGGGATGACTTGCAAACATCTCCGTTCCCAGGTGAACGGTCATTATTGAATGTTTCAGACTTGGTCATTTTTTTTTGAGGTGAGATTGGCCTCAAAGGGTTCTGGCTGCCATACGTGTCTGACTTGCGCAAGTGCCGCGTCGTCAGCGGCATCCCCCGCCCTTCTGTTATCATCTTCCATGTGCTCTCAAGAGTGTCCTGCCGTTTAGGCTTTGACACTGCCAAAGGGGATTTGCCACCTGAGAACAAATAAAGAACCATTTTATGAAAGAAAATATTGAACTTGTATTGGTCATACTCCGTATTTCGGATTACATACTTAGATCGCAATGAGATCATTTCCTAAACAGTGACAAATGAGCTCATAAATGTTACTTGAAAGTTGAAAGAAATAAGATCACAAAAAGTGAAAATGACTCGCATAGAAAAGAAGAAAAGAAGTAGTGAAAAGGTGAAATCAAATGAGATCACAGAATTAGATCACAATTGAGGCCACAAAAAGTGGCTTGCGCTAATGTTAAATAAACCAAATGAGATTCTTTATGGGGCACGGACCCACATAACTTGTTTGGTTGCAAACTTGCAACAACTGATGTGGGTAAATGGTCAACTCATAATTGATTTGTAGCAACTATTGAATTCATTGATGGAATGAATTGTCTAAACAAGCATTTTAAAATCGAAGTTGCCAATAATAGGAATAAAAAAAGAGGTTTCAAAATTGAAAATAGAATTGCTATATATTTGTCCTAAAATGTGATTAACTACTACTACCTATGGAGTACAATCTATGAAAAATACGGTCAACTATCTAGGGTAAATTTTAAAATGTACTGAACTATTACTAACTATCTGTGGTTTCGCCCTACGTTTCTAGCGTGTCAGCGTGTGTAAAGTGAATCCTATTATATTTATCCTCGCCAACGCTTGAGTGAGCAAATAACCAACGAAATTGAAAACTTACACTGTGAAGTCGGTTGTTGGTCATTTGTTGTCACTCATTAAAAGAAGTCGGTTATTCGATTAAAGGTAAGATTTTTATGATCGGTTATCGGTTGGTTAAACAAAAGCTGAAATATAGGCTACTCCGCATAAATGTTTTATGATGTTTCAATTAATAAAATGTCACAATTATTCCAATAATCCCATATACTTTGTTGTTGGTCCAAAAGAGATAAATGAGACTCATGTAGAAGAAAGCAACTACTAGAAGTACCCTTTTTTTGAAAGACTAGTAGTAGTGTCTTAAAAATACATTTTATTACGTACTACGTAAGTAGCAAAATAACTTGATACACAAAATGACAAGATCAGAGAAAAATTACAAATTATTTTTCGGTGAGAAAATAACCATTAATTAACTAGTCAACTGCATAATGTAAAATCCAATCTTAAATTTATTTGATTTTCGAGATTTGAAATCTGAGTTTGACACATTCATAATGACTTGTGCCCTCACACGATCCAACGGTAACATTAACTAACCGTACATATTGCCGTTATTAGCTATTTGAAATTCATTTGCAACTCTAAAATAATCTACTCCACTTCACAATTGAAATTCATGTTTATTCTGTTTACCAAAATAATGTTATTTTCATTTTCGATATTTTACAGATTATAGAACTCAAAAATATTTAGTACGGAGTATTTCAAAATATACAAATTTAATTGTCAAAGCTAATTTAAATTATGTTGACTACAGTACTTGACTTCAATCAAACCTTAATTTGAAATAGTACAAAAAATAGGACCGTTGGTAGCAATTACGGAAGTGCAAAATGAAAGTTCGAGAAAGGGTTACCGTCAGGAGTGGATTTATTGGCATTCCTCCGGTGACTGAATCTGGAAGAAGCCAGCGGTTTCTCGGCCGATTCCACATATCCAGACGAATCTTTCCTGCTCAACGGCATCCATGGCGATCTAGAGATTATAAACTCGTCTTCTTTCTCATCACCATCCACTTCTTCTTCCGGAACATTACAAGCTTCAACTCTCTGTTGAACCACAGAATTAACGTGTCTGTATGGCGGACTCTCCACCGTATCCTGGTAGACGACGCTATTCCTATTTGCGGCGGAAACTTCCGGCAACACTACCGGCGACTGATTGTTTAAAATGAAATCGTCGTAGTGCGGATTGATGCCGGTGAAATCGACGGCGGGAGCTTGAATTTCCTTGGACCGAAGCGTGACGGAATGAACCTCGACCGGCGTATCAGGCGGCGGAGCTGGAATTTCATCATTATCGGTCATGACCTGGAGCTTGGAAGTGGCGGCGATGGTGATGATGATGCAATTGATGACGAGATACAGATAGGGAGGACGGAGCCAAGAAACGACGGCGTTCCAGGTGGACGGGAGGTCGCGGACGAGGAATTCGGTGATAGGGGATTCGAAGATCTTCAACATCACGGCGGCGGATACGACGGTGGTGGAAATCAGTAAGATTCTGACCAGGAAAGCGGAGCTGCTTGCGCTATGAAATAAAATCGTCATATTCAAGAGCAGGAGCGTTTTGTGAGGGAGATATCGGAAAGATGAGATTTTAGGCTGTTCTTAGTTTTAAAATGGGCGAAGTATAAATGCAGGGGATGAGCTGTTTGCTTGGGATGAGATTTGAAAACATTTATCGCTATTTTTTAAATTTTGGATGTAGTTAACTGACATATTTAAAATTTACTCCATAGGTTTCTGAAACAAGTTCCACATTTTACTTCATACATATTAAGAAAATAAATTTGACTTTACTGTGGAGTGCACTGTTTGACACTGTTTGAACATTGTTTGACACTGTTTGAACATTGTTTGACACTGTTTGACATTGTTTTGATATAGATAATTTGTCAAATAAAGAAATGTTTGAAAGTGAAACTTAATTTTGAATCTGCCCGAAAAGGAAAGATGGAACTTGTTTCAGAAATGGAGGGAGTATAAGTTTGTCTAGAACATTTTTATGGTTTAAAATTATGATGATGGGCAGCTTATATTACTTCGTACTACGTATTATTTATCTGGAAATATTATACTTGTATTTAATTGAACCATGTCCTCTAAAAATATGGATATGCTTATATTGCCCATGTCTTAGACGGGGTTTGAGTATTTTTTAGAGAGATTTTTCTAAATGGGAGTAAAACAATGGGAAAATGCAAAACTAGGACTATCATGTTTTTAGAACCTTTTTAGGACTAAAATATAATGGCTTGACAAAATTAACCCTTCATATAAAACTCCAGTTTCCGTAGGAAGCCGCTGAACCATCCGGATAGTCTATTGCCGACCTCGATCGTCAAGCTCTCCATAGCAGGTAATTGATTCATATCTTCTTCTTCTTCTTTTCTTCTTTTCTTCTTCTTGTTCCTCCTTTTGTCATCTTCTTCCGGGTCTCCTGAATTTTATTTTTTTCAATTTCCTTCTTATCTCTTCTTCTTCTTCTTCTTTTCTTCCTTTTCTCATCTTCTCCTAGGTCCTCTGTATTTTAATATATTTCTGGGTTTAAATTTTAGTTTATTTAGCAATTTTGAATCTCAGAATGCAGATTCCCAGAAAATGTCACTTTTTGAATATGAGAATGTCAAACTTATTGGTTATTTGAAAAAATGTCACTTTTATGGCAGTATGCTTATAAAGATGGCAATCTTAGTTTGACATAAAATGACATTTTCGTATAAAAGATCACATTTTCTACTGTAAAAAGATGACATTTTCACATAAAAGATGTCATTTTCTACTGTAAAAAGATGACATTTTCACATTGATAGTTGTGACACTTTCATAGGAAATTATGCAATTATCCTATAAAAAGATGACATAAAAGTGGCATTCTCATATCCAAAAAGTGAAATTTTCAAATACATATTAGATATAAATGAATAAACAAATCAATTTTGGAACCTTGTTTTAATTTCTCATCCAAAATCTAAATCAAAATAATTTGTTTAAAATCTCAAAAGTAAGAAGTGTTAAAGTGAAAATCAAGAAAACTAAAATAGGCCAGAGTCGTACAGGAGAGAAGAGAAGAGTGGAAGAGAAGAGAAGGGAAGGAGAAGAAGAGAAAGGAGTTGGAGAAAATTACTTGGCTTCATTGGAGTTTTGGGAGATTGGAAATTAGGGATGCTTGCTACACATCTCTTTTTCTTCATCGCAGATGAGATCGGAAATTAGGGATGCTTTCTACGCATCTCTGTTTCTTCATATTGGAGTCGGCGAATCCAGGGTTTAATTAAAGGAAGGGCAAAAATGTAATCAACAATCCTATTTAGGGAATAATAGACTTCCTTCAAGTCCTATTTTGGAATTTTAACTATGTTTTAGTCATATTTAGGACAATTTATTCTATTTTTTACCGATTTCAATTCATTTTTTAAACTAGTGTAAACCCCCGGGGCAATGCCCAGCGGTGCGTCAATTTGTGAATCATTCATAAGATACAAAGTTTAATATAACGCATTTTTGCCATGGTCTAACTACAAACAATAATATTTTTTTAAATTTAAAATGACTATATATTAAATTATCCATCATCATATATCATATATTTACTTTTTAGTCTATATGACTATATCAATTTTTTATTGTGGTAGCATTGTGATTGCGATCGCTGCGGTTACGGCTATTGTGGCTGATGCAGTGTAATTTAATTTTACGTTCGAACGAAATAAAAAATATTTAGTGTAGATGTCTTGATACGATCCAATATGGCCTCTTTATTGCCACCTTACGGTTTCGTTGGGTTACGTAGTAGATTTTCCCCGTGAATTGAACTGCGCTTTCGTTGCGGCCTGATGCGGTTGTGCTACATAAGGCAACCACAATATTGCAGCCGCAACATGTGTTGCAATCCCGGCTTATCCCCATTGCAACCACGTTGCGTTGGGTTTCGTTGGAACGATGAGAGTACATTATTGATATTCTTGTAGTTGTTCATAATTGGAGAATAGCAAAAGTGTTATGTATGAAACTTTTCTTGTGAAGATTTTGATTGTGTTCGTAAAATTATATGCATATTGACATATTGTTATTATGCTTTCATATAATAATGTCTTTACTAAGGGTATAAACTAAATGTGATTATACATATAATGATTAATTAAAGTGACATTTGAAATATAATTTACAATATAATATGATTTAATGCACAACTCAATCAATAATTAAGCATATCATTAAATGTTAAAAATTAATTAGATGTTGTACTATAAGAGTATGAATTATTTTTTATATTATATGAGCATTTGCATCATGTAATGAGTTAGACAATTATTTTAAAATTAAAATCATGTTACATTTGTTTGGGAAATTCTCCTTGGGGAACCACCATCATGTTACATTTGTTTGGGAAATTGTTTGATCCTTCTGATGTCTTCCTAATGTAAGAGTAAGGATGTGAATAGGCTTCAATCTAATACCAATTTTGCACTAAAAGCTAAACTATCAGGTAAGATTTGGATTCAATCTTAAATTTCATTACTATTTTAATATGTTTGACAAAGTGTAAAGATGCTAGGAACTCTTAATCAAGCATGCTTCTTTACTTTGGCAGACATATACAAATGATTAATTTTTTGGTTTGTAGTTTAAATACTAATAGCTACATATTTATGATTACAATAAAGATTATATATAAAGCATGTCTTTTTCCAAAGTGTAGTGACTATAATAAGTAGTAACTTTAGTCATAACATGTGACTTATGTTCAATTTTTACAATTAAGGGATCATGACATATAGTCATAATAATAAATTTAGCCATATTTTGTTGATAAGTTTTGTTTCAATATTATTTTTTAAAAAACATTTTAAATATTTGTGACATACGGGACCTTTTAAGATGGATCTTGTATGTCGAAATATTTTTGACATATCGGACCTTTAAGAAAGGGGTTCCGTATGTCAAAATATTTGTGACATACGATAACCGTTACTTCCTCCGTCCTTTATAATTTTGTTATGTTTACTTTTTTGGTTGTTGTCTCAAAACTTTTGTCACCTTTCCTTTTAAACAATTAATTTGTGCTTCTTATAATTTCTCTCTATCTAGACAATTCTCAATCAAGCAATTTTTACTTTATTATTTTACATGTCAGTTAAACTTGACAAATTTATAAGGGAGGAAGTATCTATTATAAGATTATGAATTAAATAATTATTAAGTAGTTGCTATCTACAACACTCAAAACTAATTCCAATAAAATAGCCTATCGAATGGGTTAATTTAGCTTTATGGAAGAGTCCAAAACCAATTCTAATTCATTAAGCCTAATAAAAGAAGAACGACTTGCTATAAAATAGTTCTACAATAATTCAATAAATGATAAAGATTGTTTTTCTCTAACGAATGAATTGTTAAATGATTAATGAATTAAAAGTGATGCTAAATATTATACTCCGTAATTGTTAACCAATTAAAAGATGACACATCATTTTAAAACTCAAGTTTACTATATAAAACAATAGACTTAAAAATATTTTATTAGTCAAATAAAGAAAAAATTATATGAAAAATAGCTAAAATTGTCTTTTAAAATAACTGTAGTCAATAGAGTCAGAAAAGTAACTTCAGTCTTACTTTTTTATTATTACACAATTCAGCGTACAAAATCAAAATTTACGTGTTTGATAAAAAGTTGACAGATAAGTCAATTGAGATCTTTCGATGTAATTGTTGGTTTATAATCGGGAGGGTATAGAATTTAGTTGTGATATTAGGGTGATGTACTATTGTAGTCCTATTTTCTTGTACGATTTATAGTGTGGGTGCGGTTGGGTAATAGTGTGTTAGCTCCCAATTCAAATTAACATGCGACAACAAATTATTATCTTTCAAATACTATGTTAACTAGTGTGATGCCCCGGTAGCGTGTCAATTTGATACGTTTTAAAATGAAAAATACTACTACAAAATAGATATTGTGAGTAATTCATAGGACCCGAAGTTGAATACAATGCATTTTTACTATGATATAACCACAAACAATAATAAATTTGTACTTGTTAAATGACGACTATATATTTTAAATGTGGTAGCGTTGCGGTTGCAGCTATTGTGACCGTTGCAGTGTAAATTAATTTTACGTTCGAACGAAATAAGCAAATAATTAGTGTGTATGTCCTTATAAGATTCGATATCGGTCCCGTTGTGGTTTGATTGATTTACGTAGTAGATTTCCCCGTGAATTGAAATCTCATCTCCATTACAGTCGGGTGCGGTTGCGCTACAGAATGCAACCGCAATATGGAGGAAGTACATATTCCACTGTTTTAGACATATTTTTTTTGAAAAAATACCCCCAAAAGTTAAAATAAATTGTGAAATTATTTATATTAAGATTTGAATCTACTTACAAATGTTTTGGGCTTTATTAACAAAAAGGCCTATAAGTCTCCACCAATTGGAATTTAAGATTTTTTTATTTTTACATATGCAATATTGGTGTCATATGAAAGATCATAAAGAGTCATGCATATTGGTATTTTTTATAAAAATTGGAGTACAAAGAAAACAATTATAGCAAAAAAAGAGATTTTTTTTCAAAATGAATAATCAAAATGAAAAGTGATCATCGACTCCATGTGTTATTAGTGTAAACGTTTACATGTTTACGTTTCTCTTCCACTCTTTTCTCC